GATGGTACTATTTATAGTCCCCATATATTCCCACTTTTCCATTTCTAACCAATGTGGGATTGTTAATCCCTTTTAAGGCTCCTCTTCAAATCCCAACTTTCAATCAATGTGGGATTAATTTCACATACACAAGTGAAAATTCATTTGCCAAATAATATATTTTCCAACATTCCTAAATCAAAATTCCAAGTTCTTTCGCCAATTCTTGGCCTTTGTGTGTATCCATCAGATGGCCTTGGGTCTCTTCCGTTTCATTGCAGCCCTTGGAAGAACACAAGTTGTTGCAAATACTTAAGAACCTTCCCCGTTGTTGGTTTTTGTCCTTGGTGGATTTATCATTGCCAAAGGTTAGCAATCCTATCTTTCTACTGTGGATATACTATACTCAAAATAAAAATGCTTTGAAAACCAAATATGGCCAGAATGTGAAGTCTAAAATGTAAATCTTTTTAATCATTTTTTCCTTCAGATGACCTTCAACGATGGATGAAGTGGGTCAGTTATCTTTCTCCAATGTCATACAGACAAAATGCAATCGTTCTAGTGGAGTTTCTTCACCAAAGATGGTCCACAGTAAGCTTAACTAATAGTTCGCGGACATTGTTTCTCTTTGTATTCAAGGCTTTATACTTCTTTCTCATCATTTGATATATTTACATTCTGCTTATTGTCTCTTTTTCTTAGCCAAATGATGATGCCAGATTTCGTGGAAGTACAACTTGGCTTGAACTTCTAGCAGGCAGGGAGATGTTTACGGAAGAACATTGTTATTGGATCTGTGTTATCGTTCTGATTTGTATTGATCAGTTACTGTTCTCAGGAAACTGAATTTATATTTGACTTCATTTTGAATCTTAATTAAAAACTCAGAAGGTGAAAGTAAGAAAAATAAGCTGCCATTCTCTAATGGGAAGGTGGCCACAGAAAGGAGCTCAGCCTCTACAGGTCTGGATGTTTTGAATTGGAACTCATCTTCATTATCTTAATGAGAACAACTTGGATTTTTGGAATGACATGAGTGCACAATTTCTATACTTCTCATCCCTTATAAAAGCTATTGTTTATGCAGGGAATAACACTCCCGAACAAGAAAATGTAGACAGTTCAGTTAGTGCAACTAATAAACGAGGAATGGTGCTTCCATTCATGCCCTTATCACTTTCATTCAATCACGTAAATTACTATGTTCATATGCCAGCAGTAAGTATCTTACTTAGTTCTTATCTTTTGATTATCTCATTTCCTATGCAGAAGTAGTCAGTAATTATAATGTCAATCATGTCTTCTTTTCCTAGGAGTAATTATCAATCAGAAAAATGTGTCTATTAGTTGTTTTTGGTATGATTTTCAGGAAATGAAACGCCAAGGAGTTGAGGAGACGAGGCTCCAATTGTTGTGAGATGTCAGTGGTGCTTTTAGGCCTAGTGTTTTGACAGCATTGATGGTGGTCAGTGGCGCTGGAAAAACCACTTTGATAAATGTTCTAGCTGGACAAAAAACTGGTGGATACATTGAAGGGGACACCAGAATATCTGGTTACCCGAAGAATCAAGTGACATTTGCAACCGTTAGTGGCTACTGTGAACAGAATGACATTCATTCTCTACATGTTACCGTTGAGGAGTCTCTCCTGTATTCGGCCTGGCTCCATCTTCCAGCAGATGTAAAGAATGAAACAAGGAAGGCGAGTTGTTTCCGTATCTGACTTGATACATTCTTGTTTTATCTACCTCTAGTATCACATGCATAATTTTATCCCGTCCCACATTTATGATCCAGAACTTTATATCTACTCGAGTTGAACTTGTTGAGGGGCTCACTGTGTGGCATTCCAGCCTCTAGGAGTAGATGGTTTCTCAACTGAGCAGAGAAAGAGGCTCATAATTGCAATTGAATTAGTTGCAAACCCTTCTATAATTTTCATGGACGAACCAACATCAGGCCTGGACGCTCGAGCTGCTGCAATTGTGATGCGTGCTGTAAGGAATACAGTGGACATTGGGAGAACAGTTGTTTGCACGATTCACCAACCAAGCATCGATATTTTTGAATCATTTGATGACGTATTTCCTGTTTTTGAGTCCGTAGTAGCAGTCGAAAGAACAGTATTTTATCGTGAAAGAGCAGCCGGGATGTTTTCAGCTTTGCCTTATGCATTTGCTCAGGTAAGAAACCAGAAAATACTTATCTTCACGTTATAATTCTCATCTGCGAATAAATTTTTTTAGATAAATACCGTCATAACGTGTTCCTGAATAAACTCTTTTTTTTTCATAGGTGGCCGTTGAAACTATTTATGTCACCATCCAAACAGGATCATACCTACGTTTCGTAGGGCTGAGGCGAATTTCAGAATTTGGACTCCTAAATCATAGCAAGAAATCAATTTTTTTCATTTATGGGAGTCTTATGGAACTAAATTTATTAACTTAAAATCAATAATAAAACAACAAATAAAATGAAATATTCAAAATATCTATATTACAATCAAATAATAATGTGAAAAATGTTCTAAATGATTACTTAAATACAACTCGTTTTGAGGTTTTAGAGGCAAAGATTTCAATCAATTTTGGACAGTCCATTTGTTTAAGTATTTCTTTTTCACTGGATAACATGGTCAAACAATTCAATCTTTGCTGTGACATAGTTGATTGGAGATAAGTTTTGATCAATTTCAACTTGAAGAAACCTCTTTATGTTGGTGCAATTGTGACCTGCATGGTTAGCGAAAGGGGTTCAAATTAGTTTAAGAAAGAAATATTAAAATATATGATTTTTTGTTAAAACATTGTACCAACACATAGCATAGTCATATATAACAAGATAGAGTGGTAGACCACTTAGGGAAAAAAAATGACGATGTCAACAATTAAAAATAGTGAACGAGCCAAAGGGCGAAGATAAATTCGTAAGAATGATAAGATAAATATATACATAATAATTAATAAACCAATGTGTAGTACTATATTCATGAATCCCTCATAAGCCATAATTCATAAACTAAAGATAGCCAATATGTCTACAGTCAAATAATTAAAAGTTATTGTGAACTAATCGCTAATTCCTCACAAACCAAAGGCAAATTCATAAATCATAAGTAAGACAATAACATAATAAACTAATAATCAATTATGTATACAAATTACAACTAATTTATGCATACACATATAGAGCCAGTCAAAGATATAGAGATAATGCACAGATTCATAGGATATTAGAATGGGAAGATTACATAAATCATGCTTTTACTTTTACCTATTTCAAAAATTCCAAAACATGTTTTAAATTTCAAAATTCAGGTGTTTTTTAAATTTTTAATTATAAAATAATAATTACTAAACTAATTTATTATTAATATTTAATTCTACCATAAAATAATTAATCCATCCCCACCTCCACCTCCACCTCCACCACCCCTACAACTCC